TTTTTTCACCTTTAATTCTAAACTGAAAATTAATAATCTTTTATGAATATGTTGTGAAATTTGTTAAACTGAAAAGTGTCTATATTAGTGTCTGTATTAGTGTCCATATCTAATACATATGAAATATGAATCTCATTCGAATCCTTGACATGTAAGATTTTAGATGGTAAACTATAAGGTTAGGGAGACAAAAGACTAGAGGTTTTGAAAAGAAAAATATTTTGAAAAAAGAGAAAAAACTCCTGTACTCTTCCATTTGAACTGAATGTTGTATACGTTGAAAAAAAAGAAAAAAGAAAAAAAACAAAAGAGTGTCGTCTATATAAGCTCATCAACGTGCATGATCTTCTTGCATCTCTAAGGGTACAAAGATCTATACACAAAAAAATTATGGTGTCCTCTTTTGCTTACTTCTTGTTTACAATCTTGCTAGTCTTTTCCTTTCAACCATCTCTCCAACATCCATTGTATCCGAGAGATGAATGCCTTGCTTTGTTACAATTCAAGGAAAGCTTTGTCATTAATAAGTATGCTTCTTCTGATGATCCATTTGCTTATCCAAAAGTCAATCTTTGGAAATCCCAAGGGATGGATTGCTGCGCTTGGGAAGGCATATGGTGTGACCAAGAAACTGGTCATGTTATAGGCCTTAATCTTAGTAGCAGTTGTCTTTTAGGTTCTATCAATTCCAATAGTAGCCTCTTCCACCTCATTCACCTTCAACACCTTAATCTTGCCTTCAACAACTTCAATCATTCTATGATTCCATATGCTTTTGCAAATCTTACAAGTTTAAATTATCTCAACCTCTCTAATTCTTTCTTTTCTGGACAAATACCATCTGAACTTTCAAAACTTGCTAGCTTATCGATCCTTGACCTAACTCCCAACGATGACCCTTTAGATGAAGGATTGTTGGAATTGAAAAGGCCAAACCTGAGAAGCCTAATAGAAAATCTAACAAGCCTAGAATACCTTCATCTCTCTTGTGTCAAAATAAATTCCAGAATTCCTAGTATCTTAGCAAATATGTCCTCCTTGAGGTCCATCCATCTTAGTAATTGTGGATTGTATGGAGAGTTTCCAAAGGCAATTTTCCAACTACCAAAAATTCAAGTCCTTAATTTGACTTACAACCTAGGTCTTACAGGTAATTTGCCTGAGTTTCACTCTCCTAGCCATCTGATCACTCTTGATGTTTCCTTCACTAGTTTTTCTGGTAGGTTACCAACCTCAATTGGAATGTTGAGCTCTTTGGAGTATTTGGGTGCTGGGGATTGCAACTTCTTGGGCTTATTACCACCTTCTCTTGGTAATCTTACCAAGCTCCAAACCTTGTACCTTAGTAATAATTCTTTAAGGGGAGAAAAAGTTCCTTTCTTTTCAAATCTAACCCAACTAACTTCCATATCTCTTAGCCGAAATCAATTCACCTTTCTTGAGATCCCTTCTTCTTTTGCTAGCCTGACTCATCTCCAAAGTCTGCGCCTTTCCTACAACCACATAACGGGTTATTTTCCATCTTGGATTACAAACATGAGCCAGTTGACTTGTTTGCGCATCCGGGAAAATATGTTACAAGGATCTCTTCCAAGGTCCATTTCCAAACTCAAGAATATTAAGCTATTCGATGTTGAGTCAAATAACTTCACTGGTATAGTTGACATCAAAACATTACTTGAGTTCAAATACTTGAACTACTTGGACTTGTCTGGTAACAATTTTTCATTACTAATCAAAACTAGGAATAGTAGCAACACCAATTTTGCAAAGTTGACAGCGCTAGGACTTGGTTCTTGTAATCTAAAACAGTTTCCAAGCTTTTTGCATTACCAGAACCAACTAGAGATTCTTGACCTTTCTTCCAACAACATTGCAGGCCATATACCAAAATGGATATGGGAATTGAGTAAAAATTTGTGGTTTTTGGACCTCTCCAAAAATTCATTGACAAACTTTGAAAATTTTCCAATTTCCCTTCTGTCACCAAGTTTGGAGTTGCTAGACCTTAGTGTTAACATGCTTGAAGCTCCATTACCAATCCCACCACTCTCCATCATCTTCTTTTTAGTTTTTGAAAATAAATTCAATGGAGAAATTTCACTTGAATTTTGCAATAGAACTTCTCTCAAAGTTCTTGATGCATCTAGCAACAACTTGAATGGAACTGTCCCACAATGTATTGGTAGCTTTAGTAAGTCCTTGTCGATTTTGAATTTGGGAGAGAACAGCTTTGAAGGCCCAATTCCGACAACTTGGGAGGCTGGAAACAATCTAAAGGTGATTAAACTGGGAAACAATAATTTGCAGGGGAAGCTACCAAGATCATTGGCCAACAGTAGAATGCTAGAGTTTCTTGATCTTGGGAACAATCACATCAAAGATACCTTCCCTTCTTGGTTGGGAACTCTTTCAGAATTGAAAATTCTCATTTTGCGATCCAATGGACTCTATGGTGCAATCAATGTTTCAGAGTCAGATTCCTTGTTTCCTAACCTTCGAATCATTGATCTTTCTCATAATGAATTCACTGGCCTTCTACCAACAGAATACTTCAAGAGATGGAATGCCATGGAAGATTTTGATGAGAAGAACACAACATACTGGCATGCATATAGTGACTATATTTTGGTGAATAATCACAATTTTGTTAACCCATTTCCTTATTCAATGGTGATAACAAACAAAGGGCAGGAGATGGAATATCTAAAGATTTTTGAGATGTTGTCAGCAATTGATCTTTCTTGCAACAAATTCGAGGGAAAGATTCCAGAAGTAGTAGGGAGCCTAAAGGGACTTAGACTACTTAATCTTTCCAATAACTTCCTTGTTGGCCCAATCCCACCAACCTTGGGAAATCTCACAAATCTTGAAGCTCTAGACCTTTCTCGAAACAAGCTTACAGGAAGCATTCCTATGCAGCTAGCACAGCTCAATTTCCTTGGAGTCTTCAATGTATCTCACAACCTTTTAATAGGACCTATACCGAATGGCCGACATTTTGATACATTTGAAAATAGCTCATTTGATGAGAATTTAGGGCTGTGTGGATTGCCATTGTCAAGGAAATGTGACAACACTAAGGCCTCGCCTCCACCATCTTCAGCCTTTGAAGTAAATGGAGACTCTAGATTGATAGCTGAATTTGGTTGGAAAGTAGTTGCATTGGGTTATGGATGTGGATTCCTTCTTGGTGTGGTGATTGGAAACATTGTTTTTGCAAGAAAACGAGAATGGTTGATGAGGACTTTCAGAATCAGGCAGCCAAGGAGGAGAAGAAAAGGGTCTGAAAGATTGAGTAGGACTAGGATGACCCAATGAAGATGATATTCATCTTTCAGTGCTGGCATTTCATTTTATCTCTTTTTCCTACTTTTCTCTTTTATTTTTTATTTTTATTTTTTATTTTTTTTGTGGGTTGGGATGATAATTCTAGTACTGTGCAATACCAATGTATTGTGTGGATTGTACTTTAAAGCTGCATGAATGAATTCCA